AAATTATCTTTGGGTTTTAATATATCTTTGGCCTCATATTATATTTAATTCTGGCCCATATTTTTAAATACACTTGATAGAAAAAATGTGGACTTGGATTTTATGCCACATTGTGTTAGCTTTTTGTAGCTGTGATCAAAATACCTGACAAGAGCAACTTAGAGGAGGAATTTTTGTTTTGGCTCACAGTTCCAGAGGTTCCATTCATGGGTGGCCTCCTCATCATGACTGAATGGCCAATGGAGGAAAGCTACTCAGCCCAGAACAGCAGGGAGGCAGAGAGAGGAAAGAAGGAACCAAGAGAATAAGATGCAGCACAATCCCTCATTGACCCACATCCTCCATTCATATTCATTTGTCTACAGTTACACCCAGTTAGTCCATTTAAATTATTAATCCAGCAAATGAATTAATCCATTAATTAGGTTACAGCTCTCATCATGTAACCATTTCACTTCTGAACATCCCTGCGTTAACACTGGAGCTTTTGAGGGACACCTTATATCCAAACCACAACATACATGAAAATCAAAGCATTGCTTTAGTGAACCATAATTTATTCATGCAGTCAATAAACACATAATGAGTGCCTGTAAATTCCAATGTCCCATCACTGTGCCTGTGACATAGTAGGCAACTGAAATGCTGTTATGCTTCCCACAGCCAGGTTAAAAATAACACTTGGCTGAACCTTGTTTATTTGACAAGTTAAAGTACTCTTGTTTTTAGACCTTTTCTTCTCTGAAACACTTTTTTTGGAGACTGCTAGAGTCTGAATCACTAGTCATTTGCCAACAATTTTATTTTGCATCAAAATTTGTCATTAATGTCTTCTTTTCTCATAATTGAAGGGAAAAAAGTTGGTCAGAGAGCTATGGACATATAGTGATCCCTCTTGAATAGATGGGACTGCTTCCCTCCCACTTCAGTGGCTTAGCAAACTCTAGGAAAGGGAAGTGGAAACATGAAAGGGTCATCAGTAGTAGATCCCCAAAGAAAGGGAAGTGTCCAGACCATATTCCCTGGTCCCCATGGGGAAAATTTTAATGAAAACAAAAAGTCAGTATAAAACTTTCCAAGTATTTTTGCAGCATTTAGGATAGATCCAAAACTTTTAAATTCAGTAGGCTTAACATGATGTTGATTCCTATCTATATGTCCCATGTCCCATTTTCTGTCTTTCCATTTATTTCCTTATGGATCCAGGAGCTTTCTTTAAATGCTTTCAACTTGTCATGTCTTCCTCTGGGTGGCCCTCTGCTCAGTGTTGGTGATGGAACCCAAGAGTGATTTACATCCCCTACATCCTGGGACCTTTTTATTTTTTATTTTGAGACATGTCTCTCTAAGTTGCCCAAACTTATGATTCTTCTTTCTCAGCCTCCTGCATATATTCCTATAATCCCAGCTGTACCTCAGTCTCCCGTGTAGCTGTGATAACAGGCATGTGCCACTGCATCTGGCTTACTCTGGGTCTTAACACATCTTATGATTTTCATTTGAGAAGTTACTTTGTATTTTTTAGGTGTCCTATTAAATTTCTCCTCATCAGTCAAGCTTTACTGGCCATCAATCTAAATTCAATCCCATTATACCCTCTATTCACTTGCTCATATTAAAAAAAAAATATTAAATGACTAGTTTGTTCCAAGCATTAGCCTAGATTCTGGGAGATACAATCCAATTTGTAAATTGACAGTTTATGTGCATGTAACTTATGAGAAATATACATACTTGAGTTATTGTTCAATATTTTTATTGATATGGATTCAGAAGCAAAATGTTTCTAGATCTTGTATACAGAATGTTCAAGTGGAGAGATAAATATAGATGAAACCTCTTTAGGTTGGATTTTCAGTGCAGCATGAAAATTTATAGGTAAGTAGGTATCAGTTCAAAATAATGTAGGCTAAACAAACTAATAGAATTATTTAAAAATAAATTTTAAAATAAAAGCCCCTTGAGATTTTGAATTTCACTTTGTTCTATATACTTACGCAGAAGCTACATAAGTAGTAAGGGGTCAGTTTGTATTGAGTTTGTGTTACTGTGTAATAAATTATGACAAATTTGATGGTTTAAAATAGCACGCTTTAGCTCATAATGCTATGGATCAGAAGCACACACATGCTATGCCTGGGTTCTTTGTCTCACAAACTGAAATGAAGTTGTAAGTCAATAACATTTTTATATGGAATTCAGAATCTTCTTCCAAGATCATAGGGTTATGATAGAATTTAGTTCCTTGTTACTCTAAGACTGAGATACCTATTTCTTGACAGGCTCTTGGCCAAGAGTTGCTATCAACTCTTTGACATGCATTATTTAGTATGAGCTTCCTCCTTCTTCAAAGATAGCAATGGAGAAGTTTTCAAACATTGAATTCATCTCTTGCTTTAAATCTGTCCCTTTTCTGTAATCAGCCAAAGAAAATGCTCTGATTTAAAGGAGTCATGTTATAAGGTCAGATCCACTGGATATATTTTATTTTAATAAAGAATTTAGATTTTTAATTCCAACAGCAAAATTCCTTCATATCTGTACCTGGACTAGTGTTTGGTTGAAGAACTAACTAGAAAAACTTTGTGTTCAGTGGCTGGGCATCTGAAGATTTCCCCCAAATAGTTTGACCTAGATGGTCTTTATGCTTCCTTCAAATGCTGAGAGTCTGTGATTTGCTCATTTGCCTGTCCTTATAGAGTTAACCACCAATATAGATATGAATTTTTCACTTTCCTATTGTACAATTCTTGATAAAATATATTTCTGAACATTTCGTTCTGACACCTTTGATTACTTTCCATTGCCTCATAAGCTCTGTATAAGCCCCTCTGACACAGTGAGTCCCCAAGCTGTTGTGTAGCTTTTTAGTTTGTTATTGTCAAGAAGAAGTCACATTCCCAGCCCTATTTTGTATTTTATTTAGAGACAGGGTCTCACTGAGTTGTTTAGGACCTTGCTAAATTGCTGAGGCTGGCTTTAAACTCCAGATCCTCCTGCCTCAGCCTCCTGAGCCACTGGGACCCGCTGAAAGTTCAAACTTTTAAATGACATCTAGACTTCTCTCTATGGAACTCCAGACTCAGTATCTATGTTCTGTTCAACAGCTCCTTTTGGCTATCTGAGAGGCATTTCGAAGTTACTATACTCAAATGCTTAATCTATTTCTCCCAGGGCTTAGCCCTTCCACACTCATCCCCCTGTTGGTTATTAGTGACTTCATCTTTCTATTTGCTCAATGCAAAGTCTATAAATCTTTCTTTTGTTCCTCTCATTGTCTTATACCTCATGTCACATGTCAGTAAATCCTGTCAGCTCTCCTTCTCGATACATTCAGGAACTGCATTTTTTACTTCTGCTGCCACCATCTTAGTCCTGGCCACCATGATCCCTTGCATTCATGTTGCAATACCAACTAACTAGTCTCCTTGTTCCACCTTGTCTCCTTTCAGTCTATTCCCAATTTTATAGGTAGAGTAATTCCGTGAAACATGGTGGAGCCTATCATTCTTATGCTTAAATGAAAGTCATAATAATGTCCTTTCATAATGTACAGGGTGCGCCTTCAGTATCTCTTCTCAGTTGTCAGCTCCTGCTAGTCATTTGGGACTCCTTGTTATTCTTCAAATACACCAGCCACACTTCCACTTTACAGCCTTTTGTCATAGTTTCCCCTGCTGTAAATTTTCTTCCCTGACATTTCCACATAGCTGCACCTCTCACTTTCATTAGGAACCTAATGTCTTGTAATTAACGAGGCCTTTTCTGACCACTATTAAAATGTCATTAACCCTGAAACTTTCTACCCTTCTTCCCTTACTTTTTTCCACATCAATGATCATCTTTCTAATGTACTATATATAATACCAAATTATAGGTTTTTATCACATTTAGCCTCCCCAATGTAAATTTCACAAGAGTAGGGATTTTTGTCTATTTTATTCATTGTATTTTTTATACCTACAGTAGTGCTTGCACTATTTAGATGCTCTTTAGACATTTATTGTATTTTGAACTACTATGATATATTTAGGAATTAATGAGTTTCTAAATTTTTATTAATTTTCTTTTTAAAGTGTGAATGTTAACATAGTTCTCATGAATTATGTAATAGTCATGCAAGTCATTATTATGTTTCTTCATCTCAGTGATTTTGGCAAAGACATGCATGTGTAAGAGCAACATGGCTGAGAAAAGTTTTATTATCTCTTAGTTCATTCATTCTTCATATTTTTAACCATAACATGCTTATATTACTATTCCAATAAAACATCTCTTACAAACAGGACATGAGCTTTTTTTTTTTTTTTTTTTGTATCTTGAATCCCTAACACAAGTCTTAGAACCTGACATGGTTTGACTTTAGAAAACCAAGGATGATATGACTCTTAAGTAGGACCATGTGATTATAGATTATATACTGATACTTTAATCTGCCTATTAATATCAATGTGTCTCACGATGTTCTAGAAAAAGTTTTGTCAATCCTGAGTAAACATGGGATAAAATAAAATTAAACTAATTATATAAGTTTACTCATTCAGTAATCCTATTTACTTAAAATAATTTTATAATCCACATTATCAGCAAAATGTGCTTATGTGTATTTATACATTTAAATATAAAAATACCTTTCTTGGGAAAAAAATACAAAAATAAAATTCAGACCATACCGAGGAAATTCTTCAGAGGGTTTAAGCATGCAATTTTCTTTTGTAGCAGTAAAATTTTTTTCTTATATCTGAAACCAAAGTATATTTACATAGGCCACATGTGAGTGTATTTGGGAGCAAAATTACGAATTTTTCAAAAATCACAGTTTTGTCCTCTGTAGGGGTCTGCTCATTAAGTATGTGGATGTTAATCTAAGTGTGGTAATAATCTAATAGATCTCTACTAGGCGCATCATAATAGAAAAATTTCAAATTTTATTCCTTCCTTCTGATTATAAGATATTTGATAATCCAAATTGTTTTTTATTTTTTCCCTTTAATTTTTAGTTCCCAGTGCTCCCACAAACATTGCTTTTTCTGATGTTCAGTCAACTACTGCAACACTGACATGGATAAGACCTGATTCTATCCTTGGTTACTTCCAAAATTACAAGATAACCACTCAACTCCGTGCTCAAGAATGCAGAGAATGGCAATCTGAAGAATGTGTTGAGTATCAAAAAGTTCAGTACCTTTATGAAGCTGACTTAACTGAAGAGACAGTGTATGGATTAAAGAAATTTAGATGGTATAGATTCCAAGTGTCTGCCAGCACCAATGCTGGCTATGGCAATGCTTCCAACTGGATTTCCACACAAACCCTGCCTGGCCGTAAGTATTGTCTTAATATATATATTGGTTTCTGTTATATTTTATACCTACATATTAATACTTTCTACTAAATAAATTGTGCATAAAATTACTAAACAAAAAAATAACATTTAATTTAAACTTAATTGGAATCCGATGGATAATTCAATTTCAATGACTTTTAGGGCTTTTTTTTAAAAACTCCTGAGGTTTGTTATGGTCCCAAATTCTGGTATTTCAGCCAAGCACTGTGGGAAGACCCTTGAGGTATATCATTAGGCTACACTGCTACATTGATGCCAGGTAGTACCCTTTATTAGTGCCTATATTTTCTCCTGATATCTGGAGGCTCTGCTGCTTTTATGCTGACTTTTAAAATACTTTAGTGATTTCAGGCTTTCTCACACACACACACACACACACACACACACACACACACACGAGTGTAGTAATCCTAATGGATCTGTAAGCACTTTTTCAGTTTGTGTTTTTTTCTAAACAGAATTCTAAGGCAAAGAAATACCAAGCATCTGGCTCCCAGCTTGAAACAGGGAGAAGAAAAAAAAGAAATACAAAGAAATGTAAATTATCTCTCAAAACTATTATGCTATCTACATATCTTTTAGGACTTTGCCATTCAGAAAAAAAAAAATCTGTTTAAATGTTTTTTCCATGATAAACACTCTAGGTATACATAAGGATTGCTCTTGCAACTTAAGTTTTATATTTTAAAAATCAACTGGTCACCCTATTTGCTTAGACATTATTGACCATAATTAAGTAAATAAATGTCTATTACTTATCCTGAACCCTGTCTGCATAGAACATAGATTTTCATGCAGTACAAAGCAATTGCCTGTCAAGTCCCAGAAACCAGAGTTCTGTGTCATGTTCTCTGTGTTCTCTGAAAAGTCATTTCTATCCCAGTTCCAGCTCCCAGAGCAAATTTCAGGTGGGTCAGGACACCCATCCCAATACCACCTCATGTAAATTCTCTAAATACAGGGTTTATGCTACCATCCTCCTTTCTTGACCAAGGCTCTTACTCAGTGATTCCTTGAAAATCCAAATCACATTTTCTGAAGATTTTTGGTACCTATTAGTAGAGTTTATAAACACACACACACACACACATACACACACAGAGACACATTGGATTTTCTGTGGCAAATGGGTAATGTGTTAGGCTCTTACAGATATTGAAATAAGCTTTCGTCTTGAGGCTTTACCTAGACCCCTAATGGTGTCTCTTGTTACAGTTCCCCAGATTGCATAGCATCATTTTTGTGATAACATCTAATAAATGTTTGCTAATGTAATCTAACATTTGGGGTAGTAGCCTTCAACACATTGTTCAAACAACTTTTTTTTAGCACTTAAAAAGTTTTGGTTTCTGTAAGATTTGCTCTTCTGGATTTTCTCCTGCTTCCTGAAGCCTTTTCCCAGGCTCTTTTGCTGATCTCTCCTCATAGCCTTTTTTTTTTTTTTTAAATTCTAAGTATGTCTTTTCTCTTCTTTACCACACACAATCCCTAGGAGATTTTACCCCAAGTGTCCTCTGTCTTATGACTTTCAATTCTACTTATATACTGATTATTCTCAAGTCTCTATTTCTAGTCCTGAATGTTCTCCCTGAACTCCACATTAGGATCTTTATCTCATCAACTGATATCATTGGATGTGTGTCTCAGATAAATCTCTCAAAATTAATGTGGTCTAAACAACAAAGCTTCTCATCTCCAGTTATTTTTTTTTTTATCTTAGTAAAGTATACTGTTATTCAACCATTGGAAGAAAATGAAAATCCAAGCACTGCACCTTTCCTCCTCAGTTCAACCAGTGGCTCGCTTCAACCACACCCTTGAAGCCCTTCCCAGAATTTACATTAGTCTAGCCCTTAATCACTATTTCTATAATTTGCACTAACCTGACTGGCCTCCTGGTTTGTCAGGCTGATCCTACAAAACCTAAAAAAGATGATGCTACTTTCATGCTTAAGACTACCCAATGAATTCCCACGGCTCTGGGAATAAAGTTCAAATTTCTGAACATGATTAACAAAGCCTTATGTGAACTGGCTCTTCCCTAACACAATCAACCTTGTTTGTGACCATTTCCTCCCTTACCATTGCATTCCACTCATGTTGGACTTTTTTTTAGCTGCTTAAACACATTCAACTTCTAGAACTTGGGACTTTGCATTCCCTGTTTCTTTTGATGAAATGTTCTTCCACTTCTTACTTTATATGAGCAGGAGATCTCTGTATAGATTTCTACTTAAATGATCCCTGCTCACAATAAATTTCTCTGACCACTCCATCTAAAATTGCCACATAATAATTGTCTATTACAATATCTATTATGATAAACACTTAGAAATACCTGTTATTTTAAAATTTTAATTAATTTGTTTGTTTTTAGAGACTGCTTAATCTTTGCTATTTTCTTATTGCCTAGAATCATCCCTAGAGATACTCTGTAGATAATTCCTGAGTGAGTTAAACTTGATTGAATAAGCTGTAGTGGAGAAAGGAGAAGGAATTGTTTTGTAGTGGTGATGGTGAAGATGGCAGTACCATAACAGAAAGAAATAATTTTTAAAAATCAAATTCAAGTTGAAGACTAGTGAATAAGAATAGTTATTTTGAACCTCCTAACTTGGTAAGAAATAACTACTTTAATCTAACGAAAAATAAAGAAATAAGTGCTTAAAAATTTAAAGATGGTTAAAGTTAGAGGTGTTAGTTGCTTCAATTGACAGACGTAGTTAGAAATCACAAGATCTGATAGAAAAGTGGGACATTTGCCTGAATAAACTTTTAAGCCCCAAGAACTGTAAGTTCCTTCAAAGAGTCTGACAGGAACTAAAATGAATGAAATTGACTCACATGTGCTAATTCGAAGTGATGGAAACCATGGCAGATTAACAGAGAATGTACTCTCTGAAGTGGCAGCCACCACTTACCTCTGGCTGATGTTGTCTTATAGACAGCCCATGCTACTAGGTCTTCTGATGTTTGCAGGGAAACAAGAAAATACTTAATTTTTTGCTTGCAACTAATTTTTAAAAATTCAAAAAAAAATTAGTTGTTCAACCCGAATATATCAGATCTGGCTTGTGAATAGCTCATCTGTAACTTTTGGTTAAAATATACCTGTACCTATGTGTCTTCTGTCATGAAGGGGTTTTTCATCTTAGTCCTGATGAGCACTCACATGGAGATGACCTGCTTCTACCTACTGCATGGTGCCAAGAAATATATTTTGTTAATGTACCATCTCTTATAAGCATAGTTAATTGATGCTATTATGGAAGACATTTAATTGGCATAAAACAAAATATAACATGATCAGTTCAGAAGCTGGAAAATAAAACTGGAAGTGAAATTATTAAATAATCCTGCATTCTCAAACCTTTCTACTTGAGTGTCATTCTTCCACCATTTTAATATTTATGATCATATTTTATTTCCCAGTGGGAAATAAAAATCAGTTTGGAATTAATCAACAATAGGTATTTTGAGCTTGTTGATGTTGAAAAGGAATAAGTGTTCCAATATAAGTAACTAGAAAACATAAATAAGTGCTTACAGATTAAAGCATTTCTAAAGCTAAGAGTTTTAGTTGCTCATAAAGTTGACTTTCTACAACTATTATTAAGAAAGGTGAGCATATAATGATGTTCTTGGCAGTCTCAAAAATTTATAGCTTCTCAAATGATTAGTCATATGTGGGTGAGGATAATAAGTTACTTAATGTTTAAATAATAAGTTACTTAATGTTTAAATTATGACAATGAGTTGGTTGTCTTTTAGTATGAGGAATGGAGGAATGTTTTGCTTTCAATTATAGAGGGGACATTTTTATAATAATAAATATATTTGAATTCTGAATTTCATAATTGTATGGTAAAGGAAATTTTTTATGATATGAAGACAAGGAGAGAGAATCTAAGATTGCATTTGACATGAAAGACAAAGAGACATCACATATATTATTGTAATATAATATGTATACTGAAATAACATATAGTATAATAAGAAAAAGAATGAGTTATTCAGTTATTCAGTCAATAAGAATCTTGAAGAGTAGTCATTTTTTTCTTCAGAGTCAAAGTAAGTAATGTTTATACATTGATTCTACATACCAAAGATTAAAATATGACATTGTCCAAACAAAAAGCAATCTGGATGAACAAAATCAATGCTTTGTATTGTCTGTCATTGATTCAAAAATGGTATGTAATTTCATGCTATGACTTAAGATGAAATAATAATAGCCATTTCTCTAGATTAGAAAAAAGATAACAGTTTAAAATCATTGTTTCCAATCAGTGTGCATTTTGTTCTAATGGTATCAAATTTTGCCCAAGCACTTATTAATACAACATCTTATCAAAACCTGGAGTTTCTTGATGAAGAGTTAGTGTTTGATAACTATTTGGAAATTAAATGGGTCAAAATTTAAAATTTTTCAAATAAAATACAGCCCATTATGAATTATAAATATTATAAAAGACTCATAGCATAAGAAAATTTGTTGTTATGAACTTCTCTCTGAGATCATAAAGCAGTGCAACAGAATAGAAGATCCAGGAAGCAAAGTCAGAATGCAAGCTGAGAATTAAATTGGTTTACTCTGAATCCGAATCTACAACCGTAAAACAGAGTGAAGGAAGAAACAATATTTAGTCAACTCAAGCTAACATTTCTCTCCCCTATATTCTCTGATCTAGATAATTAAAGTCTAATTGTTTTTTCTCCTTAAATCATCTGTGAATACCCATAACTCTACTTCATGCTGTGTTTATAGATAAAAAGCACAAAAATTATAAAAGACAGAAATACTTGAAACAGTGAAGTCTTACAGACTTTTACTCATCTCTTATTTTTCTGATTATATACTCAAAAGCAATTTGAGATCTGTGTTTGGTGTGGAATGGAAAATGGAAAACTGTTAAGTATCTGTGTGGTGCACAATAGATACATAACAATGCTGAGGAAATGTACAGCTTTAAAGGA